GGCCAGCTCCCCACCGCGCGCCCTGCCGCCCCTCATCCCCTCTGCTCTGCTCCCCTACAGCTGTACGAGGGCCTCAGGTCTCCCAAGAACAATCAGCCCCTGGACTACAGGTAGGTCTTCAGCATCGCTTTTGTGGGGCGTCACCCTCCTGGAGCAGGGCACTGGGTCGTGCCAGGTGCTGCTGGCTCTCTTGGCAAAGGGATGTGTCTGGAGCTGTTGCTTCCCCGCAGGTGGCCCCTGAGCTACAGACAGTGGTGGGAGTGCGAGTTCATCACTGAGGGCATCATTGACAATGGTAAGAGCTCTCCCCTCCTGCCCCGGGGCTCTCCTCTGGGCTTTCTTATGTTGGGGGGCAGCTTGGTGAGTTGCTCACTGCGGTGGAGTGCCTACACTGTCCCAGCTGCTCTGGAGGAGGCAGCCTCACTCTGCACACATGGGGTGGTCCCTGCATCTCTCTGACCCCACCATCACTGCCCCTGTCCCAAGGATGGGCAGCTTGCCAAGATCCTGTGGCTCAGCATCTGGCCCTTGCATGTTAGGCACTAACCCGCCTGTGCCCTCACTACAGGTGGTGGTTTTCGAGACACCCTGTCAGATGTGTCAGAAGAGCTGTGTCCCAGCTCCGGGGATGTCCTTGTGCCCCTGCCCTTCTTCGTGCGCACCTCTAATCAGGTTTGACACCCCATTGTCTGCCTGTCCCAGCCCTGAGGGGACAGCCAGCAGAGCCTGGGGACTTTTGGGGTGTTAGTCTTAATTCTTGCAAAGCTGTTGGCCAGGGGGGCTGTGCTTGTACCAAGGTGGTGGAGATCTACTGGAGGGGTGCAGGAGAGGCGGGTGGAGAGGTGATGGAGAGGGAGGCTGCAGGGGGGACCACGCTGGGCTGGCCACATCTGTGTCTGTGGGTGCTAAGCCTGTCTCCTGCAGGGTAACAGCGGCAGTGTCACCAGGGACATGTACGTGCCCAACCCCTCCTGCAAGGAATTCCCCAAGTATGAGTGGATCGGGCAGCTGATGGGAGCAGCCCTGAGGAGCAAAGAGTTCCTGGTGAGCACAGCAGAGCCTCCCTGGCTGTCGAGGGGCTTGACAGAGGCCATCATGTCTTGGGCAGGGGGACTGCCCTTGGGTAAAGGAGGAGCATGGGAAGGACATACATCTCCACTCCCTTCGGCAGATCCTGTCTCTGCCAGCACTGGTGTGGAAGCAGCTGGCAGGGGAGGAGGTCAGCTGGAGCAAGGACTTTGCCACCGTGGACTCAGAGCTGGTGAGCAGGGCTGGGGCTGGCAGAGCAGTGCTGTGTGCTCCGGTGGCTGCTCTGGCTCCGCTGTGATGGTTTTCGCCCATTGGGGTTGCAGGTGAAGCTGCTGGAGGTGCTGGAGGGGGTGGACAGGGAAGCCTTTGAGTTCATGTTCGGCAGGCGTTGCTGAGGTGCCGGCGCTTGGTGGAGCTGATCCCCAACGGCAGCAGCACCGTGGTGCGCTACGAGGACCGCAAGGAGTTCATCCGCCTGGTGCAGAAGGCTCGGCTGGAGGAGAGCAAGGAGCAGGTAACACTGCCCCCCAGGGCCAGCAGGGCTCCGAGGGGACCCTGCTCCTGTGGCAAGCCCTCCTGGTACCTGTGGGGTTAGTGGCTACAAAAACATATCCCCAAAACCAGCTCCAGCTGGGCAGTTCTTCCATGCATGCCATGCCCAGGATGTCCATGAGCCCTGGGGACCCCCTCTGGGGTCCTGCAGTCCTTGCCCCCATTGCCCTTGGTATCTGCCCTGGGCTTCAGACACAATGGGGTGACATGGGGCCCTACCTGTGCCCCCCCAAAGATTGCAGCCTTACGTGCTGGGCTGCTCAGTGTGGTGCCCCAGCCTGTGTTGGACCTGCTCACCTGGCAGCAGCTGGAGAAGAAGGTCTGCGGGGACCCTGAGATCACGGTGGCTGACCTGCAGAAGTTCAGTAAGTGCTAGGGCCAGCCCAAAGGTGGGCAGGGCTCCCCCTTGATACTGCTGTCCCACACACTCGTCCTGTCCCATGCTGAGTACCTGGTCATGGGGTGCCTGGGAGCCTGTGTTCACTGAGAGCAGAGGGTCTCCACCTCTCCTGCCTCCACTCTGGGCTCTCACAGAAGGGAGAGATGGACATGTTAATTTGCTTTGCTGTGAGTTCCTAACAAAGCTGTTGTGCATTCTTTGTCATAGTGACGTTTGAGGACTTTCCCTCTGATGACAGACGTGTCCAGAACTTCTTGGAGGCACTCAACAACTTTACCAGTGGTGAGCCTTTCCCTGCTCTTCGTGTGCAGCAAAGCGGGCGGGAGGCTGGGATATCCGCTGCCCTGTCCCAGGGAATGCTCTCCAGGTGCTTCCCTCGGAGATGGCTGGGGTCATACCACCTGGCCCTTCCTGGGATGCTGGCAGCATCCCTTAGCTCCTGGGATGCTTCGGCAAGGACAGACCTTACTGTGACGGCAGCAGGAGCGATGGTCCTGTCCCTGTCCCTGTCCCTGAGACCTGAGCCCTCTCCTTCCCCTCAGAGGATCTCAGTCGCTTCCTCAAGTTCGTCACTGGCCGAAGCCGCCTCCCAGTTCAGATCACTGTCTACCCAGAAAGGATGAAGTGAGTCTGTCCTGCCTGGGGTGGGGTCCCTGTGCCACCCAGTCTCTGCCATCTCTGTCCCACCAAGGTCCCTGCGCCGTGCCAGAGTCTGACTCTCTATCCTTTCTCCCAAGCTTGGATGCAGTGGACCTGATGCCACAGGCCTCCACATGTTCCTGCAGCTTCTTCTTGCCCAACTATTCCTCGTGAGTTGAGCTGGGGACAGAGATGCTTCCTGCTCCCTGGGGCTGGAATTCCAGGGTCCTCAGGTCCTGCTCTGGGAGATGTCCGGGCGAGTGCAGGGGAGGGAGGCATGAGGCTATCAGTGCCTGTCATAGCTGTGACCCAGCATTTCCCCCCAAGGGCCAAAGCCTGCGAGGAGCTGCTGCGGTACGCCGTGTACAACTGCATGTCCATCGACACCGACAAGGAACCCTATGACGAATGAGGCCCCTCGGGCACCCCCTGCTCTGGGAGCCAACCATGCTGGGGATACTGGATTCAATAAAACTGTAGGATCCCACCATCCTGCCCCAGCTCCTGTTTGTGTCTGTGCTTCTTGGGAGCTGGGACTGGAGCGTTTGTGGCCAGTGCTGCAAGTTTGTGGTCAGCATGGCACTGTCTGCTGGGTGCTGTGACAGCATGGGGTGCTGCAGGGTGGAGAGCAGGGCCTGCACCTGAAGGCTGTGGGCCACATCCCCTTCCCAGACACGATCTGGGTGGGGACTGTGGCACCAGACTGTTCCCCTGTAATGCACCCTGCAAACTGCTCCCTCCTTGTGCCCTTCCTGCAGCCCCCCTGCCTGC